GTAGGGAAAAAATATACATGGCTGAAAATGTGGAGTCCTACCACATAACAAGTAAAACAAAATAAAAATAAAATAATTGTTTTAAACTTCAACCTATTTTGTTTATTTTTAAACTTGAATCAAAGATGATTTAAAAGACTATATATATATATATATATATATATATATAAATTTTAAAACATGATACACACACACACACACACACACATATATAGATATATATATATATATAAAGATGAAAAAGACAAAAGGGAATATAATTAAATAGGGAGACAGAAACTTATTGTGCTGGTTTTGCGCTGTGAAATCAATGAGTGAATTGATGAACCTAATCATAGCGAGTAGGTTTAACAATATTTGATGAAATTGTAAAATTCCACTACACGACAAAACTCATGCCCAAAATCTAATCTTGTCTTAGAAACCAATGCTGAGTAAGAAACTATAAAGGTACATGGTTGGTTCTCTGAGTAGAGAATCTAGAGATGGTCTGGTTTGCTAAGTTTGGTTATTTGGGTTTTAAAAATTATAATAATTTATTAATTCTATGTTCAATTTGTTTTGGATTCTGTTTAGAAACAGTTGTTATCGATAAAAATAATTAATTTCAAATGAACTTTTTATTTTTTATCTTTTATCACTCAGATTCTGTTTTTTTTTTTATTACCATTGAATTTTTATATAGTATTCGGTTCAGATACGATTATTTGTTATCTCATTCGAATCAATTCGATTATTTGATTATTAACTGAGTTTATAGAAGAATATCAATAATGGCGTTTGAATATGTTGTTTTGAGTTTAACAAAAAAAATATGTTTTGTGACCCATGATTATTTTTATTATGCATTTGGTACCGCTAGAAAAATACTTCATTTCAAATATTTTGGTTCAACCATTCAAAATAATGAAAATTGTGAAAAAACTAGTACTCATACAATAAAAATGAGATGGATGAATTAGAGACAAACTACAATGATTTTTTTTGTGATCGTAAAATTCTTATGCGGTCAAAAAAAAAAATTTACCATATCGAATCTGAATTGATATATGATAACGAATATTGCGTGGCAAAAAATATGTATCCAAAATAAGTGAGATTGAGATATAATGCACGGATAAAAAATGGATATAATACAATTAGGGATATCAATTAAATCCGAAGCCGAAACCCGGTCCGAGTCCGCCCGAAAAAATTAAAGACATGGGCCTAATAATATAGACCCGATAAATAAATGGGCGGGCCGATCCGACCCGAAAAAATTGAGGCCCGAGTCGAGTCCCCTTATTTAAATTCCAATTGTTGAAAACTAAAAACACATTTGACATTGTAAATAGATGTTTGATATTTTCCATTCCGTGCGTATACTTGATCAAGTGCAGTAAGACATATAATATAAAAAATAGAAATCAAATATATATATATATATATATATATTATAAAATCTCTCTGATCGTGATCATATATTTCTATTTCTAAAATAATAAAAAATGAATCAGAATTCAATCCAAAAATGTCAAATTCCTAATCGCGACCACTGACCGCTTTTGTGAAAATTGATATATTTTACGGATACAGCTGTATATACATGTGGTACCTCTACACACATATACGACCTATACATATACAGAGATAGGGAATGATACATACATGCATGCATGCATACATCACCATTATGCAAAATGGGGGTATAAAATATAAAAAAGCTGTTGAGATACGCTTTCGCTGTTTTCTAGGAGAAAAAAAAAAGAAATACCAAAAGGATCGTAACAGTTTTGTTTAGTCGTTGGTCAAATATTTTATTTTCCGCAATGTATCGTATAATTCTAAGTATGAACCGTCGCTTCGCCTCTTTCTTTGGATCTTCCATTCCACTTCATTGACCAATCAAAACTCCCCTACTTTCTCTGCCACCTTTTTTTTTTAATAACAATACTGAATCTTTTCATTACGGAAATTATTATATCAACGATCCGTTTTTTTTCATAGAAGCAAACAAAAAAGATGGCCGTAAAAGGGGGAATCTTAAATTTAATTATAACACCATGTTTGCGGTTATTATGATTTATGGCACTAATATTGCTTAATTCACGAGATTTCATTCCATGCATCTAATTATCTTACGAAAATGGTCACGACCCAGCTACAATACAGAGTGTTCTTGTCTGTATTTTGAGCCGATAAGCCTGCTCCTACCACGTTATATATACACCACCAATCCACATAGCTTCACGCACAGATCCAAACAAAAGGAAAAGAGAGAGAAGGAAAAGAAAGGGGCCCCCCCGTGTAAAAGGCCAGATCATAATATTAACCTCTCTGGTCTTCTTCTTCTGATCATTCATGGCTTCCCGTCTTGTCTCTGTTCCTGTTCTCGTTCTTGTCCTGTCGCTGATGGTCGGCACTCTTGTCTCGCCGAGGAAGCTGTGCACTGACGACGAGGAAGAAGGGTCTTCTTGTCTGAATTCTGGGGTTTTGTCGCGGCAGCGGGCGGATATAGTGAGGGGACTTCCCGGTCAGCCTCCGGTTAAGTTCCGGCACTACTCCGGTTATGTCACCGTCAATGAAACTCGTGGAAGAGCACTGTTCTATTGGTTCTTTGAAGCCACTCGCCATCCCAGCAGAAAACCTCTCCTCCTTTGGCTAAATGGAGGTAAATTTTCATCAATAATTACATATATTTTCGTAAATAAATAGACACAATAACGTAGATCGTCCCACCTATACATTGCACAATGCTCTTTGTTATATATATATATATATATATATATATATATATATATATATAACAAAGATGTAGTAGAAATTAATTGTCGTAAAAATTACGTAACTCATTTGTTTTATGCATTTTACCAAAATAAGAATGAATAATTGTTATATGAAAAATAAATTTTGTTTGGAAAGTAATTTATAGCGTATTTCCAATTATTTCATTGGTTGTTGTGATATTCGGAGGAAGGGACCACGGGTAAATATTTCAAAATGCGAATTATACAAATTACAAAAATAAAAGGAATAAAGCTTTTTGTATGCATGGCGACAAGGTAAATCATAGAGAATATTAGGTGAAGCTTCCAACAATAATAATAATATGTCCAGCGATAATTATAGCAATAATAATAATAATAATAATAATAATAACAATAACACACATGATGTCAAGAGAAAAACAGTGTGTGTTTCTGCGAGATTTGTTGCGTTGGTAAACATGAAATTTGGAAGCATGTAATAATACCACGTGCATGTTATTTTCATGCTTTATGTATCTTCATTTGGACTTATTATATTTCCATACTTTTACGTATTTTAAACCAAGGTTAAAATTAATAATTACATACTAAATGTGTGATTTGGTGAGCCTAATGAAAATTAAGGAGTATACATACGTGTATACATATATGTATACATATACGCATATGTATGCACGTGCATTTATTAATGTCAACGTATATACTTGCATATCTTTAGGCTTTTTAGTTTTCTGTGATGCTTATTAGCCCTTTGCTTTAGTGTTAAGAAACTTTCTAAACAATACATTATATTATCCACCGAGAAAAGTCAAAACCAATCAAATATATATGGCAGTCGGTTCATTTTTATTTATTTATTTATTTTTTGTGAAATCGTTACAGTATGGTCCACCATGCACGTACGCACGCGTGAAAAAAAGCTTATGATTTTACGTGAAAAAGCAATTTTCCCAAATGAAGGAAAAAAAAAGGAATCATGGACCAACCGAGTCACAATCACAGTGAATACAAGATACATGAAATATGAATGTATTAAATATAATGTTTCCGAAAACATTTATATTTAAAAAAATATATAAATTTTGTAGGGCCGGGATGTTCATCGATCGGATACGGGGCATCAGAGGAGCTTGGACCGTTCTTCCCTCAGAAGGATCAGCCTAATCTTAAGTTCAACCGATATAGTTGGAATAAAGGTGTGTGTATACATATACATACATACGTATTTTGACTTTTTATACGTATATAAAAACGTAGCTATACATGATTAACTATTTGTTTTGAATGTGTATACGTGCAGCGGCAAATCTGTTGTTCTTGGAATCTCCGGTCGGAGTTGGATTTTCGTACACTAACACCAGCAGTGACATCGGTGAACTCGGAGACACAGTCACAGGTTGTGGTTATGCATAATTTCTCCATGAATTAGGATAATATTTTTGTTGTTGGATCGTTATAAATTAGGAGAATTTTTCTGTTTAATTATATACTAATCAACGCGTGTTACGAAAATGTAATCAGCGAGAGATTCGTACAATTTCCTCGTCAACTGGTTCAAGAGATTCCCGCAGTACAAGTCCCACGACTTTTACATTGCCGGAGAAAGCTATGCCGGTAAAACACCGAATACATAACTACGTATATATATACGCGTATAAACTGCGTATTTTTGTTGTCATGATATAACGAAGAATTGCACTGTATATACGCGTGTGTATATTTGCAGGGCATTACGTCCCACAGCTCGCGGAGCTCATCTACGAGGAGAACAAGAATGCGCCCAAGAAAGATGTCATAAATCTCAAGGGCTTGATGGTGAGTCCATATGCGTCATGCATTTTTCATTTTCTAACGAATTTCAATTGAACTATATATGTATAGACTTATACATATATATATATATATATATATATCCGTATATATAAAAAAAACAGATAGGGAACGCGTTGTTGGACGACGAAACGGATCAGAAAGGGATGATAGACTACGCGTGGGACCATGCGGTGATATCGGACGGATTGTACGAGAGAGTGAAGAAGGGCTGCGATTTCAGACAAGATCAGCGCCCATCCAAGGAGTGTTCGAACGCATTGGATGAGTACTTCGAAGTGTACAAAATCATCGACATGTACAGCTTATACACTCCCACATGCGTATCCAACGACAGCTCGGCCCGAAACCTTCCAGCTCTCCGAGGGCTCTTTCGTCCACTCTTCGTTTCGCAGCACGTAAGTAGAGTTCTCTTCTTATATATATATATATATCTATGTATGTGTATGTATGTGTGTATATGACGGATCTCACGAGATGGGTGGGAATTGTATATGTGATAAGCAGGGGGGTTGGCGTAGGATGGCAGCAGGGTACGATCCATGCGCCTCGGACTACACGTCAAAGTACATGAACAGACCAGATGTTCAAAAGGCTCTTCACGCCAATGTTACCAAAATCTCCTACCCTTGGTCTCACTGCAGGTAATATTCTATATATGTATATGCATGTGTGTGTATATATACATACAGTCTAAACCCTAGGACCTAGGTCAAAGAGAAAGATCGAAAAAACCCCTAGAAATATCGCTTAATTTTTTTATTTTTCTGTATGTGCAGTAGCGTGGTCTCGTTCTGGGGAGATGCTCCTGCTTCCATTCTTCCTACCTTAAGAAAGCTCGTGGAGGCTGGTCTACGAACCTGGGTCTTCAGGTATAATCAAACAACAACAAAAAAGTTTACGAATTTCATTGCTTGTAGCACACGTTACTAACATATAGAGACATATACATATACATATATATGACAAATCTTGTGTGTCCTGAAGTGGGGATACTGACGGAAGAATACCGGTGACGTCGACAAGATACTCGTTGAAGAAGCTTGGTCTGAAGATTGTTCAAGACTGGACTCCTTGGTACTCCAAACTCCAGGTTCTGGTTCTTTCTCGACATCTTTAAAAGATGGACGTCCAATTTGGTTAATAACCGAACATATCCAGACCGTATAATTATAACCGAACTGAATCAGATATAAAAAATTTTTGAAAATTCCTCTGAGAAAATGAACATTTTCATCTATAAAAATTGAAAATGAACAGAACTAAACTAATTCAATATGAAAAACAAATGGTTATAATTTTTCTAATATCGGTATAATCGAACTCAAATATAACCGAACCGAACCCGAACCTGAACAAACCACCTCTATAATTTCCGATGTTTTTTTTTTTGCGAAGGTGGGAGGGTGGACGGTGGAATACGAGGGGCTGACGTTCGTGACGGTGAGAGGGGCAGGGCATGAGGTTCCGACGTTCAAACCAAGCGAAGCTCTTCAGCTCCTCGTCCATTTTCTCGACAACAAGAAGCTCCCAACGCTTCCCTTCTGAATATTCCCATCTTTGATCTCCTCCATGTTTTTTTTTAAAATCTCTGTATGATTTCATTTAGGTTATTATTGAGAAAATAATAAAAAACACACACACATGGATAAACTGATAAAAGCCATTCGAACTGTATATAGTTTATATTTTTAATTCGGTTCGTTTTGCATTCGATTTATTTGATTTTAAAAAAGTATAATCATTAAATTTTTGGGAAAATAACAAAAAAATACATCAATTTGATTTAAACTAACACATACATACATCAGTTTGTAAACTTGCCGATTAATACATCACATTGTATTTTTTTGGCAAATTCCTACAAAGACGCAGACAGTAACGTTTGTCGTTAAAAATTGCTGATCTGGATTGTCTTTATATGCCACGTACATACCAGATCAGATTATATCGACATATCATAACCTTTATCAATTTAAATCGAAATAAATTCAAGCGTTTTGGAACATTTGAATCTAACGAAACTGGGACATACTTTTACTTCGGTCGTGATATTTCGACACGATCTGAAAAAGTAAAAAATCGAAAGTGGTTGAAATCGCGATTAAGGTTTCACCGTCAGGAGGGCTTCACCGTCGACTTCGTCAGAGTTGTTTCACCGTCGACTTCGGTGGGCTTATAAGGACCTTCCATTTCACCGGAGCTAGAAGATAAGGATCTGATATCGTCAGAGGTGCTTCGAAAGTGAGTTTCGCCGTTGATTTCGTCGGATTTTGCCGTGGATTTCGTCGGAGGTGCTTCGGAAGTCCATTTCGCATCGCCGGCCAATGGCTTCTCTGTCCTCATCACCGGAGCCGCTGGCTTCGTCGACTCTCACTGCTCGATTGCGTTGAAGAAACGTGGCGATGGCGTTCTGGGTCTGGACAATTTCAACGATTACTACGAGGGTAAACTTCAGGAATGCACTTTATGTGTCGCAGTACTTTCGTCGATACACACCTCAAAATCTAAAATAATTTTTTATCGGATTCTACACTCCATTTCAAGTAAAATGACTTAAATAACCTTATATATAAAATATCTAAAATACCTTTTTACATTTGAATTAAAAAAAGATATTGAAAAGATTTTTTAAATATTTCGTTTTAATTTGTCCACCTAGCTTTTTAAATTATTTTCGATTTCATCTTTTTTTTTTCTCTCGAATGGACACAGTTTTCAGATTTTTAAATATATTAGTTCTAATTTGTCTACGTGGCTTTTTGAATTAATTTGGTCACAATTGATGCTATTTTTTTTATTACAATTATTACTCTTTATTTACAACTTGTTTTTGGTAGCATATACAATTCCTTGTGCTTGGTTTTTTTATGTACAAACTAGGTCCAGATTTTGGTTTCGATGGATTCTCCATCTCGCTCTGCAATAAAACAAATGTATTAAGTTGTATTAACGACTAGTATACATATTCAAATATAATTACGACTAACACTTCTATAATATTTAGTGGCATCTACCACTACTTTAGAGATAACATCTTTGTAATTCTAAGTTGCAAATAAGACTAATTAATATACACAAAATATTTTGCAATTTTTCAAATAATCTGAACGAATTCGAAAAAAAAAACTCATCCAAAATACTCACATCAACATCCAGAGAAGAATCTTCTGTCAATTTTCTCCGCGGATCTGCTTTTCCGGTCGACCGAGATGCGTTACTCCGATTTGGACCTTTTCACCCGACGAAGACGAAAATTCCTCTTGATTCTGAGTTTTTCCAGTCGACCGAGATGCGTCACTCCGATGTGAACCTTTTCCTCTCTATTTTTCCGAGCGACCCTGATAAATCACTTCCATCTGAACCTTCGCCACTCGACGAAGAGGAATAAGATCCATCCTTTTCCTCTCTATTTTGCACTTCTACACTCGATCTCGGTGGATTTCGCTCCATTTCACCAGATTTTCGAAAATTTTCGCTCTTCACCCTCTCTCTCGGCGCCTCTCTTTTTGCTTTCGAAATGACAGTAAAAAAATCCTAACTCTCTTTTTTTCCCTTTCTACTCTGGCAAATCTGGCGGACTTTCACCCACCGGACACGTATCATACGCTCAGTTTTATTAAGGTTTTCCAACTTTTATAAGGGCATCTTCGTCTTTTGTTAATTCTTTATGTTTCTGAGGTGTATTTGTGATAGAGATGCGACGCATTAGGTGCAATCCTGAAGTTTTCCCTTACTACGACCCATCGCTCAAGCGAGCAAGGCAAAATCGCATGGAGAAACACCAGGTGTTCATCGTTGAAAGAGATCTGAACGATGGTTCACTCTTGACCAAGCTCTTCGACGTTGTCCCGTTCACCAATGTCCTCCACCTCGCGACTCAGGCCGGTGTTCGCTACGCCATGAAGAACCCACAGTCCTATGTGAGCTCCAACATCGCTTGATTCGTCAACCTCCTCGAGGTCGCGAAGATGGTGAACCTTCAACCCGCCATTGTCTGGGCTTCTTCGAGCTCCGTCTATGGCCTCAACACAGAGAACCCATTCGCCGAGGGGAGCACCGGAAGCGGCGGGAAGGAGTATGTTACCCAAATTGATTTGTTTCTTTATTATTTTCATCTGTAACGTGTATATGAACCCTTGTACACATTGTGAATCAATAACTCAAAATCTTATAAAACCTAAAGTGTATTATGTACGACCTCGGAAACTCGTCGCCGGTTCCGGTCGGAAAACTGGTCGGAATCTTGGAAGGGTTGTTGGAGACCACCAACATTTTTTTTAAATTATTTTTATTTTATTTTTCTTGGGAGAAAAATTGTCCAGAATACCACGAGTCTATGACGAATATATATATTAAATGGAATATTGCTTATCAATCAATTTAAGTGGAAGAGAATCGAACATGGAAAAGTATTTTAGATTTTTATTAGATTTTTTGTTAGCTTTGTTTTTGAAAAAATTATGTTTTTTTGTTTAGAGTTTGGTTGGTTATAACTAAAATTGTTAATTTGAAAAATAATTTGAATTAGTTTTATATCAAAATTTGATTCTAATCTATTTAGTTCGGAGGGATTTTATTATCAAGAAGTTAACCGATTTTCGACCTCAAAATGGATTTATAAATGGGCCAAGCCCATAGTATGCAACGGGCCGTTAGGTCGGATTCATTAGCAATATCACGTCTCTCGAGCGTACGATCCACGCGCCGCCACCGCCGTAATACCAGGGCAGAAAAAGGGGTGGCATTGGTTAGATTCGTCGATCATATTTCAAACGCAGAGAGAAAGGGAAGAGTGCAACGATGTCGTACTGATTTTCTGATTGTTTGAATTATCGAAAAGTATTCATTTCGAGGACTTCTTAATGGTTGCTTCTTGTTATTTTTTCGTGCAGGTTTTCCAAACAACAGCTGTGGGTCTGGGTCAATCTACTTGTGTAGGAATTGGGGGGGATCCTTTTAAGAGCGTCTCGTCGTCATACGCTTCGGCCACGACTGGGACGAGACCTGCATGCAGGTTCTCACCTTCTTCCTCCTCCTTTTTTTGGGATCCGGTTCTCTGTCTGATTCGATTAGAAATCTAATTAGTTTGTTGCCCATCGTCGTTAGCTGTGAATCGGATCTTCTTGTTGCATAAAAGTTTCATCTTTCCGTGCTAATTTGATCAAAAACTGCAATTCAATCGAGGGCTAGATGGAAAATGCAATCTTTTGGTGCTGTAGTTAGATATCTCTTGCATCCCCCTTAGCCCGAAGCTGCTAGTGATCTGTCTTCACTGACAAAAGGTTGTCTTATGTATGAGCTCGTTCATATTATGTATGAACTCGTTCATATGTGTTTCTGGCAATAAAATTGATGCTTTTTTTTGTGTTACTGTAACCCTTTTTCTGATTCTTCGATTTGGGTTTTCAGATGGATGAAGTGCTAGCATCTGTTGCCGAGACCATAAAGAATTTCGCTGTTATATATCTGGTGGATATCACTGAGGTGCCGGATTTCAACACGATGTATGAGCTGTACGATCCCTCGACAGTAATGTTCTTCTTCAGGAACAAGCACATCATGATTGATCTCGGAACTGGAAACAACAACAAGATCAACTGGGCTCTCAAGGACAAGCAGGAGTTCATCGATATCATCGAGACTGTCTATCGTGGTGCGAGGAAGGGTCGTGGTCTGGTGATTGCTCCCAAGGACTACTCCACGAAATACCGCTATTAATTGGCTTCTGCCGTATATAAGCATCGCTCGGGCATGTTGTGGGTGATTCTCGTCAGCCAGAATATCCGCGAACTGGCATATGATTGTTGACTGTAATTCCGATTTGCTCTACAGTTATCCAGCATTTTATGTAATGCTTGAAACACAATCGAATGTAACTCAAGGCCAGAAGTCAAACTGGGAGTTATGTACATTGGTTTCATCTTTGTCTCTTCTTGTGGGTTTCCTGTTGTAGCTTATCCTTTGTGCTTAAGGAAGCTGAACTAGCTGTTTGTGTCCACTATACTTTTATCATTACATTATTATACACATGCAGGTGAACGAGAGGACCTGTCCTGTTGATACATCGTGAGTGACATTGTATTGTGTTATATACACTGTAGTCTGTACATATATGTAACATTCTATTCTTCTGGATCTTTTTGCTTGTTCCAGGCAGCTTCCACGAGTTCTGCCACCATTTCTCCTACGAAGTACCAGAAAAACCCGGCTGATAAGATCTGCCGCCAATGGCTGTTAACAATAGATAAAGCCCAGGAGCCACCGATATGTTCTTTTAGTTCAGAGACTCCGTTGTTGGCTTGGTACTGAACCATGAATACTGCTATAAGGGCTACCGCAATTGGGATTTTTTGCAAGACTGGATTCTGCTTTCTGGTCTGTTTTTTGATGTGATGATCTTCTGTTGAACCTTTGCTTTGATTCACAGGTGAAGGCTTTGTAAACGAGCTAGCCGTCAAGCAGCTGCTTTCAGACGAAGGGAGAGCACGAGCTGATGGGATCCAGTACTCATCTCTGTGCATGTGCAGTGATGCTTTCCTGTTGATTATTCCGTTCTGTCTTGCTCGTTTTCTCGCTGCAGCGGCATCTTGGAGCTTTTGGATATCTGGATCAACTGACTTTCCTCGCCTGCTAAGAGTAAGGCTCAGCTGAGAAGCTGAATCGGTCGGTTTTGAATCTGGTGATTGCCAGTACAACCAACTGGATATAGACCTTATTGCTTCTACTGCGTTTATTCTTGCTTCATTACGTAAGTCTGTCTCCTGCATGAACATCCCAACATGACTTATCAGTTCCCGGTATCCGATAGCTTAGTTTCATACCTGACTCGTAGCTGCCAAGGACTTGGAAAATTCACCGGGGAGTTCGGTCTGGTGGTTCTGCTCACGGCTTCGGCGTATCTAGCCTGGAATTTCTTGACATCGACAAATATGTTGGAGACACGGGTTCCAACATTGTTACCAGCCCCGACTCTCACATTGCCTCGGGGCTGCTTCGACATTAAGAACTCCAAGGACGCAAGGTCAGATCTCTCCACCACCCTGCCAATGTTTTAACCAACAAAGTATTAAGTATTTGCACCCCAAGGTTGAACAGAGAGCTTTGCATGGATCTATCTTATTCTTCTTAGTTGCCCCTTAAGCTTATAGAGACGGAGTACATAGCCGTCACAAGGTTAACCTGTTCTTCGCTATAACGAGGAGGAAATCGTGTTAAGTGTTCTTACGAGATGCAATCAATGGGGCATGCTTCAATGGCTTGTTGTATTTTGTATTCAGGGTCAGCCCATTGGGAAACGACCCTTGCTCTACCATACGTAGTTTCTATAGCAAATGTCTTGTCGGCACACAAGGCACACTTTAAGCAGCCAACGCACTTGACCTCATCCACGAACACAGCTCGGTGTTCAGTCTCTGAGCCACACCACACCGAGTAGACCGGCCTCCCTGTGTAGCCTTTGAGTTCCGCCACCTTTGCTTGCTCCTATGACACGTTTTCATGTAAAATTCGATACCTTTTAACTAACTTGGCAGTATGACCTTGGCAGGGAGATTCAGTGAGGTTTACCTTATCATATGCATGGCGAGAAACTGGATCAGAGAGGAGAGAATAAGCCTCGTTGAGGATGATGGCCATGTCGTGGCCGGAGATCCCGGCTATATCTGGGTGACAGCGTTTCTGGAGATTCCGATAGGCAGCTTTGATCTGAGACTGGTCGGAGTTTTGATGCACGCCCAAGAGGTCGTAGAGGTCAAAGTCTGTAATGGAAGAAGAAGAAGAAGAAGCTCTGCGCTTGGTGAAAGAGACGAGCCTGAGCTTGGCCGGTGGTCTAGTGGTTATGGTGCGGGCCCACGAGGTGGTGGTGGACGACGGAGCTGTGGTCGGAGGAAGACTCGCCATCGACATGTTTCTTCCTTCTGCCTGCTCTGCCTGAAGGATAAGTTAAAGGAAGGACAGGTTGAGAAAATATCTGGTCGGAGGAAGATACTTTTGGGACAGAAGAAGAAAGTTCCAACATTGGTTTGGCTTTTAAATATAAAAATAAAAAATACAATAAAAAAGAGTTTGAACCCAAAAAAAAATCTTGTAATTTGACTGAATATTAAAAATTTGCTAATAATAATTTTATTTTCTGAAAGAAAAGTACAAAATATATATATATTTTTTTGGAACTTTTTTCCCATAAGAACAGATATTTTGTATAGATAAAAATTGAGGGGGAAAAAAATTCTAAATCTTCACCCTCCAAAAAAATAAAAGTTTGCACCTTTGTATCGGAAAAAAGGTTGCAACTTTGGGTTTGGGCTCAAGGGAAGTTCTCAAAGAAGAACCTGAGGAGGCCCTGTTAGCTTTCTTCCATTGGAAACACGAGAGATTGTTCAAACAAAGATCGCTGAATTTTCCTTTCCCATTTTCGCTTTCGGCTTCCACAGTTAGGGTTCTTGGAGAGATTTGGATCGGAACCTTCCAAGTTTCTGAACCAGAAGCCAAATATGTCAAGGCTGGTCACGAGGCTTCTCGGATCTCTGTCGTCCAATGTCCGACGCTCCGGGAACTCGGAGGTGTTCCCGTCTTGCCCTTTGTTGACTCAGTCCCGCTCCTTCACAGCGGCGCCTCCGCCTCCTCCGGCGGTCTTCGTGGACAAAAACACCCGCGTTATCTGTCAGGGTATCACCGGAAAGAACGGGACCTTCCACACTGAACAAGCCATTGAGTACGGCACCAAAATGGTACAGTACCAGATTTTGCATATATTCATTGTAGTCTGAGTCGTCCATTTGTGTTTTGGTTACTCCGGAATTGGGTCGATGGAACTTCGCAAGGTTTATGCGTCGATTGATGAATTGCGATCCTAAATCAGTGCAGATTAGGTGTTCGCCATTGCTCCTGTTTGATTTATAGTTGAACACAGCGTGGCTGCATTGGTTTAGGAACCCAAAATTTGATTTGGATGGGTTACAAGGGTTATTTGTTCGTCATCTTTGTCTGAAGGGTTTAACCATGGAAAGCCTTAGAACACGTTTTGTTTCTGAGTTAGTTAATCTCCTGAATTCCATTAGATCAAGATTGATCTTTTATTGCTTGGATGTGTAGCAGTACGTTGTAACCCTTTTTCTGTTTCTCACGAGAATTGCTTGCTTTAGCATTATGGAGACGTTTCTTTTTTCCGGCATCTCTGTATTGCAGATGAAATGAAGATGAAGCTTTTATATTTGTTAAAGATTGCTTTTTTGTGTGTGTGTGTGTTTTCCTACAATAGGTGGCTGGAGTGACACCGAAGAAGGGTGGGACAGAACACTTGGGTCTCCCAGTTTTCAACTCCGTTGCTGAAGCGAAGGCTGAGACGAAGGCTAATGCCTCGGTGATTTATGTTCCTGCACCTTTTGCTGCTGCTGCTATCATGGAGGCTATGGAGGCGGAATTAGATCTTGTTGTGTGCATCACCGAAGGAATTCCTCAGCATGACATGGTGAGTATCATCTTGATTTCGTTTCTATTTTTTATCCTGACCAAACTTCTTTCCCTTTCTGGGTATCATCAAGTGATCTGCGTGATTATAAGCAGCTCTTCTGATTGCCTGATCTGGAGACTTATGTTGTTGTAATATAGGTTCGTGTAAAGGCTGCTCTTAATAGTCAATCAAAAACTAGGTTGATTGGTCCTAACTGCCCTGGGATTATCAAGCCTGGTGAATGCAAGATTGGGATTATGCCGGGATACATTCACAAGCCAGGGCGGATAGGGATTGTCTCGCGATCCGGAACGTTGACATATGAAGCTGTAAGGTTCTTTTATGTCTTGCCTTCATATTTTGTTCTCTTCATATCTTAGTCTCCTGTCTTGTCCATGCCGTTTATCTTCCGTGTATATTTCTATTAGGCGAGTTTATGCAGCAAAGTAGATAATTAATATTGGTTTCTGCCTTTGGGCCAAGACAAATGAATTAATACTCCGAAGTGTTGGATCAAACATGGTACAGGATTTTTGACTACTGTCAGGTTTCAAATGTTAACTGACTGATTTTCTGATTGTTTGAATTATCGAAAAGTATTCATTTCGAGGACTTCTTAATGGTTGCTTCTTGTTATTTTTTCGTGCAGGTTTTCCAAACAACAGCTGTGGGTCTGGGTCAATCTACTTGTGTAGGAATTGGGGGGGATCCTTTTAATGGGACAAATTTCGTTGACTGCTTGGAGAAGTTCTTTGTTGATCCGCAAACAGAAGGTTATTTCATTTCCCGAAATTTGATTGAATATATGTTCTGTTCTTCTCCCCTTTCCGGTTGATTAGTTGCACTGTTTATCATTTGGTTGACAACCACATACTTAAGTTACATTATAAATCTTTTCATTTGTAGAGGATAGCAATCAAATTGTAATGGTGAACCGATTTAGTTTCACTTGTCCCACTTTTCTCGTTGTGACAGTTTGGTGTTTTCACCTTCGTAGTTTTTCTATGCTGTTGGTTTTTTATCATCCATATGCCCACCACCGATTCTCTGTCATCTCTTTCAGTAGCTTCATGAATGCTTCTGACATGGATATCGAAACGATTGACTATTTCAGGTATCATTCTTATTGGAGAGATCGGGGGTACCGCAGAAGAAGATGCTGCTGCATTGATAAAGGTAACTATATCCATCTTTCTATGGTTAATGAATAAAGGGTTGCCCTTCAACTTGGCCGATTTTGTTTCTCATCTCTATGTAATCAAAAAGTGAAAACATAATATTATGATCGAACAGGAAAGCGGAACTGAGAAACCCATCGTTGCTTTCATTGCGGGACTTACTGCACCACCAGGCCGGAGAATGGGTCATGCTGGAGGTTAGACCATATTCTATCTTAATATCTGTTCCTGTTTTCTTCTCGGGAACTACTTTGCATCAGTGACTCTCTGCAAGTAAACTACTTTAACATTGGTCTGTTGAAAGGCAAAGTACATTAGGCCCATCTCCTTTTGCAATGATTGTGTGATGAGTTAGTTACCCTTCTTAACTCTTAAGTGAAATCTGTGCAAATGCTCGCCTGGTTTTCATTTGGGTTGGATTGGATCTTGGTGCACATTCTGGGTTTTAGTCTTGGCTCACACCAGGACGGACCTTAAAGATAACCATAGTAGATGATCTTTGCATTTGCACGGGTCTGTCTCTTTAATGGTGATTATTTTGAGGGTATTTTGGATTCAACATTGGCGTCATCCATAAATAAACTCATTTCGGGATTCTTTGATCCGATATTCTCAGACAGATTCTTCTCGGTAATTTTGACTTATCTTAGCCGTTGGATCAGTTAATCAGTGGGGGTGGTTTTCTTGTGTTTGTGTTGTATGGTGGGGTGCAGCCATTGTATCTGGTGGCAAGGGCACAGCTCAGGACAAGATAAAGAGCCTAAGGGACGCCGGAGTCACGGTGGTTGAATCTCCGGCCAAGATCGGAGCAGCAATGCTTGACATCTTCCAAGACAGAGGTCTTGTCGAGTCCGTTAGCGCTGTTTAGAATTGATTGAGCCCAAAAAAAAATCTCTGTTAACATTTTGCAAAGAAAAAAAGGGAAACCCTAATCTTCTGTTGGGTTGGTTTGTTTGAAGTGGTTGGGAAGGAAAAAAAACATGCTCTTCTTCTTCTTCTGCAGTTCATTGAAAATACTTTGGCACTCTGGTTTTTTGCCTGTCAACAAAATAATCAATTGCAGAATGAAGGGTGTTCTTGCTTCCTTTGATTTCCATATTATTGTGATTTTAATTTTTATATTATCCATAATGCTGAATTGTAATAACCCTCCAGTTAATGAATTTTGTTTTGGAGATTATAATATGGGTTCCATCTGAAGACTTGACATCAGACACATCCATAGTTACATTGTTCCATTTTCAATAAGACCAGCTTAGTCTCATCAACAGAAAAAGAATATGTATGGCCAATATCGTATATATATATATATGAACTTGAGAGTCTTTGCTTCCTATTTGTTCTTCATCAAGAACAAGAATAGATTTGCAAGGAGATCAAGAACAGGAAAAACGATGTTCTTTATCGACATTATCATCATCAACATCAACATCATCAAGTTTCATTACAGTAACAAGGAGATGAAGTATCGAGCAGATACGAGGTGTATCCACATGTGTCTTGTCATGAGCTATGAATCTGTGTGAAGTTCCGAGCAGTTCAATGATACTATGTCCTGCAAATTTCTTCACCCCTCTATCCTCCATTGCCTCCCTCATCGACCTCGCATCTTCAAACCTCTTCTTGATGGCATAAACATTCGATAACCCGACATATCTCCCATCATGATCTGGCTGCATCTCTAAAACCCTCTTTCCAACTCTTTCTGCAAGATCCAAATTCCCATGGTTTATACATCCACTGAGCAGAGCCCCCAACATTGAAGCCGTCGGTTCTATTGGCATTTCGGATATAAAACCATATGCCTCCGAAACTAGACCTGCCCGGGAGAGGACATCAACCATACAAGCGTAATGCTCACTCTTTGGCTCAGCTCCACTTTCCTTTAGACCCTCGAAGAAATGCCAAGCTTCTTTCACTAATCCGCCATGGGAGCAAGCAGATAACAAGCACAAGAAGGTTATCTCGTCCGGGTTAATCCCGGATTCTCGCATTTCTCTGAACAGTTCGAGCGATTCTCTGATAAACCCGTGATTTGCGAGACCGCCGATCATTGAATTCCACAACAAGACATCCGTTTCGCCCGCGGGTACTTCCCGAAACACGTTCCAAGCCTCCTCTATTGCCCCACACTTAGCGTACATATCCACGAGGGAAGTACGGAGTGTAATCGTTAAGGGCAAGCTTTCATCGATTACATAACGGTGCACCGTCTTTCCTCGATCAAGAACACCCAAATGAGCACATGCGCAGAAAACGCTAACCATCGTGACTTCGTTCGCCTTTGGACCCATTTCCATCATCTGATCGAATATCTCTAACGCTTCATCATAGTCATCGCTCTTCACATACCCATCTACCATCGAACTCCATGACACGACATCTCTCTCGAGCATTTCGTCGAACACTTGTCTCGCCGAGACAATGTCCCCGCACTTTGCATACCCATCCAACATCGAATTCCACGACACCAAGTTCTTGACAGGCATTTCTTCGAACAGTTTCCGTGTCGAAGCTATGTCCCGGAACGAACCGTACATATGAATCAGGGAGTTACATACGAATAAATCCCACTCCAACCCGGTTTTGGCTACGGCGCCATGAATAGATCCACCAAGCTCTCTGTTCCAAAGACGTGAACACGATTTCGCCAGAAATGGGAAGGTCATATGGTCAGCAGAAACCCCGCTCCTCAACATCTGGACGAAAACACGAATCGATTTTTCAGGGTTTCTGCCACTGGAGAAACCTCGTACGATGGCATTCCAGTCGGAAACAGAGGGATTAGACAGAGCCCGCAAGAATGCGTAAGCGTAGTCGACGTTGCCTGAAGCAGAGAGAGCGGCAAAAGACAGAAGGCGAGAAGAAAGAGGTTGGTCGTGTGAGAGACCCAACGTTATGAGAAGGGCATGGGTTTTCTTGAGATCGGACATTGACTTGCATCGATGAAGCAGAGAGAGAAGAGCTCGTTTCAAGTCGGAATCTGCGAAGAGAGACAGAGCTTTCACCATTCAGAGTTTTATCCTTTTTTCGACAGTGAGATTCTTTCGACAATCCTACGAAAACAAGTTGAACAAGAACATTGCTTTCCTATCTCCGCGTTTGGCTTGCCTCGAAAATCCGCGTTTGCGTTTTGAGAGTGGAGTCTGAACGCGATTTTGAAGTAATTTAAAAAAAAGATACGCGTGCGTGTGTGTTTGTCATCGGGACAAAACATTAAAATGCTTAATTATTTTAAGCAATGTTTAACACAATCTTTTTAATATTTTTTAATAAAAAATATAGACATATACATGTAATATAAATCTTTAGATGCCAAATAAAACGATTATGGAGGCGAGATACAGACCACAACTCACATTTTGTACGATGATTCCATTTTTTCAACAGTTTATAGGGATCAATGTCATCATATTCTATGATCCTGACCTGTTCAAGACACTAGGGTTTGGAGACGATGCATCTCTTCTGCTGCTATCACCGGACTGGTTAACGTAATTTCCACCATCGTCTCCATTTCCACCGTCGATAAATTCGGACGGAGGAGGGCTCTATTCCTTGAAGGTGGTGTTCAGACGATCTTGATGCAGCTGCGTTTACTGTCAAAATGTTCTATAAACGAAAAACAAAAGGTAGAGTACGAATCAAGAAATCTCAAAAACTCGAGTTTGTTTCTGATAATTTCAGATCGGTGTCGGGTCAATGATCGGGTGGAAGTTCGGGCTCAGAGGAGAAGGCACGTTAACAAGGGTCGATGCTGACGTCATCCTAGCTATGATATGCATCTACGTGGCGGGTTTTGCGTGGTCATGGGAGACCGTAGGGATGACTGGTGCCGAATGAGATTTTTCCGTTGGAGATTAGGTCAGCTGGTCAGTCCATAAACGTGTCAGTGAACATGTTCTTCACCTTCGTGATCGGACAGTTCTTCCGCTCCATGCTATGCCACATGAAGTTCGGTATGTTATGCTCAAAATTGGGTTGCTCAACTGGTAAAAAAAGAGAGCAAAACTCCTTCGTAACCCGGGTTCGAATATCCGTACTTGGAGAGGAGAATTCACATGGCCTTGAAGTAATAATTAAACACAATCATTTATTCCGATGGTGGTGATTAACAGTGAAAAATTTTCTTTATCCAATCTATCAGAAGATTCTAATACGAATTGGTTACGTTTTTCCATCCAAAATAGAAAAAATTCGAGTGTTCGCTTCCAAAATTCCAAAATTCCAAAATAGTCTTCTTATATATCTTATATTAGATGATGAAACACCAAGAAAGAAAATGTTATAACCATGACCTTATTCATGAATCTCCCCATATATATATATATATAGCCTCATATATAAATAAAAAACCGGAAAGAGAGAATGCCGATATATATGTAGATTGTTCTAACAATAGCAATGGCATTGTTTGCCACGAGGGAGAGGCTTACACCAACCTCCCTTGCCATTGCTGCATCCCTTCAGACACCATTGGTTGCACTTTCCCTCCTCATCCTTTGTGTCGCATTTCCCAAACTCTGGATGAGTGTTGCAACACAAGGAGTTACCCCTTGCTACCTCAACATCTGAATATTCAAAAAAAAAAAAAAATGAAGATCGTATCATGCGTATATATGAAAAAGAATCATCAAGATTTCGAGCTTCAAGGTGTTTTTGATAACAACGCTTTTAGGTAAGGGTGTAAAACGGATTAGTCCATTCCAAACTAACCCAACCGATCTTGATCTCAGAATTTTTTTTAAGCTCAATTCAACTCGATCCGTTTTTTAGCGAACCGAAAAATATTTGGTTCAATCTGATTCGTTTTAGATCATGAATCAAACAGGTCGGCCCATGAACCAAATACCTTATAACTGAAAGAACATAATTTAAATGTTGTTAGCCATACATATAATAGATGATCATAGATTAAATGTTCCAAAATAAGATAGAAAAAGGAAGATTATAATAAAAATATAAATACATTAAAAAATATTTTAAAAAAAAATTAAAAATAGTTTTTCGGCTCGTGACCTGACTCGCAACGAGTTCAGTTCGACTCGTGACAAACTGACTCATTCGACCCGTTTTTTTTGTACTCAAATTTACCGAGACTAACTCGGTAAAATATGGGTTGGCTCGCGAGTAAGACCCATTTTGCTCTTGGGATAATAGAGGGTTTGTGAGTTTTCTGCACATAAATACATTGGCGAGTCTAGATAATTTTATTATTGGCCCGAAGAAGTGATTATACAATAAGAAAAATAGCGGCTATACTTTTGGTTTGATTTCGCAGAAAGATGTTAAAACAATCTTACACATGAAATTGAACGCATTTTTTTGTCTTCATTGTCTGAAAATCGTCAAAAAAGAACAATAGAAGTAGCTAAATCGAATGAAAGAAGACGACTAACCGACACACAAGAGAAGAACAACGAGAAGAGCAAAAGATACAACTTTCATGCCGCCCATTATCTGTCCTTTTTTTTCTTTCTCTCTTTTGATATTTTGCTTATTGCACATATTTCCTCATATTTATAGCCGTAAATGATGATGTTAATAATGGAAATATACATATTATTTAGAGTGAAAAATGGAAAATAGAAAGCAACCCTATACAAGTACACAAATATATAGAAACATATCCGGGGGTTAGTTTTCATATTACGGTGGATTCATGTTATAAATTTACCTTAAGTGATAAACAGGTTTAGATATTGATAGAAATTTGCTGTTAACAAATATTAGATATGCAAGAAAACAAAATGGAAAGAAAAAGTATACATGAACTATTTGAAAAAAAATACAAAACCTTCCTTATTTGTATAATCGAATTATAAAAGGAACAAAGTGTTAAAAAAAAAAAATCAGAAATTAAATATAGGAGGAAAAAAATTGTATTTTTTTCAAATATGTAATAATTTTTTTACATAAATACATGGCTCATTATATGGAAGATTGCAAGTTTAAGGTTTTATATGAAATATTTTAACAAGTTTGAGATTTTTTGTGGATTAATCCAGCAAGAAAATAATATAAATATTGAATAAAGATAATAAATATATATATATTTATAGAATTATAAAATTTATTTAAGAGTTATAAATTAATATTTATAAATAAATAATTAACAAAAATAATAAACTAAATATTTAATAAAATAATAAAATATATTTTATTTGATTTTTTCAAGAGTGGGAGATAGAGAGATGTTTTAGATAATTTTTAGAGTTAGAAATTGTTGATGGATAGTGTTTGAATTGTGTTTGGATGTTAAATATATAGAAAAATATTACAATACGATTTCGTTGCAAATCCAATTACTAACGAATTTCGTTTCAAAAAGGTGTCAAAACCGTAATCAATCATAACTATAAATTTGTTTTAATTTTACAAAGAAATTTCATTATTAATTGGATTTGCAACGCAATTTTGTTGTAAATTTCTGTATTTATTTTTTGGGAAAAAACCATAAAAATTCCTGAACTTGTATTTTGGAGTAATATTAATTCCTAAACTTGTAGAGGTGCCTATTAATTCCCAAACTTGCAAAATTGAACACGTTAAATCCTGAACTTGTTAAACGGTACCATAACCGTCCATAGCGTTATTTGGTCAAAAAAACGAGTTGACCGATCCGACGTGGCGCTGACGTGGCGGTAATTTTCTGAGTTGGCTCGCCACGTCACGTGACACGTCGGATCGGTCAACTCGTTTTTTTTATCAAATAACGCTATGGACGATTATGGAACCACTTAACAAGTTCAGGATTTAACGTGTTCAATTTTGCAAGTTTGAGAATTAATAGGCACCTCTACAAGTTTTGGAATTAATATTACTCCAAAATACAATTCAAAATTTTTTAGGATTTTTGTAAATAAAATATAATTATCTTTTAATTTCTAAATTGATTATGAATTGTTTTAAAAAATATATTAAAAAAAATATTTCTAAATTAAATGTATTTTTTCTAAATATCCTTTTTAATATACTTTTCTAAAACAATTAATAATCAATTTAGATTTTAAATATTTGATAGAAAAAATACCATTATTAGATTATTTTCTCTATAACAAAATATTGTTATTATTATGATAAAATCTGGACCTAAAGTTATATAGCTAAAGTTCTTATATATATAACCAATTTAGAAATTAAAAGATAGTCATACTTTATTCATAAAAATTCTAAAAATTTCTGAACTTATATTTTGGAGTAATATTAATTCCTAAACTTGTAGAGGTGCCTATTAATTCCCAAACTTGCAAAATTGAACACGTTAAATCCTGAACTTGTTAAGCGGTTCCATAATCATCCATAACGTTATTTGGTAAAAAAAACGAGTTGACGTGGCGAGTCAACTCAGAAAATTATCACCACGTCACATGCCACGTCGGATCGGTCAACTCTTTTTTTTGACCAAATAACACTATGGATGATTATGGAACCGTTTAACAAGTTCAGTATTTAACGTGTTAAATTTTGCAAGTTTGGGAATTAATAGGCACCTCTACAAGTTTAGGAATTAATATTACTCCAAAATACAAGTTAAGGAATTTTTAGGGTTTTTTCCCTTATTTTTTCGACGGTTAAATCATATTAATTATTAAATGATGATATTTGCAACGAAATTGTTACATTGTAAAGCGTTACAAAATCATTGTAAAATTATTTTATTGCAATGTGATCTAAACCGAGTGAATTTATTTCAGTTTAAATTGATAATCCGAGTTCTGTGGCAAAATAATCTGATTTAGTTTCTACGTGATAGGTGATAGATAAAGACAATTCAGATCAATAATTTTTAACGGAAAGCATTATCGTCAGCGTCTTTGTAAAAATTTTCCAAAAAAATGTAAGATTTAATCAGTTAGTTTACATGTAAGATTTAATCAAATTGATGTATTTTTTTCTATTTCCCTATTTTAAAATACTCTGCAAATTTCTCAGTCGAGGGGTAAAAATGTAAATCCCGAATAGCCGACCCGACTCTACAGAGCACGAGAACGCTCGTGCATTTCTGATACAACATCGTCGACGAGAGGGAGAGCGAGAGCGAGACACGTTATGGAAAACAGACAGGAATCAAGCGGCAAAGATCAATCCATGGATTCCCCGACCAATTCTCAGCAAACCGGTAAGTTCTATTATCGCTTTCCTTTCAATCCCATTGAGATCTTCGTTCACTTGCGATTTCGGCCGATATATGCGTTAAATCCTCTTCTACATGCATTGGTTTCTCATGGGTTTGGAAAAGATTATCGCTTTTTCCATTTGTAATCCATAAGATCCTTCACCATCAGATTAATTTCCCAAAAGTCAAGTGATTTCGCTTATGGGTTTCGTCTGTAATGCTCGAATTGTTAGTTTTGGGCTCTTGAACAAATGCGGATTTGATTTGTAGAACGTTGGAGCTCTTATTTACCAACTTTTCTGGTTAATGGCTGTGACCTATCTTAGTCAGAGTGTCAGCCATGGCGATTTTAGCCCGAGATTACGGACAAGAAGTGTTTTCTTCAGATTCTAGGGTTTGTTGTGATGTTCTTTTGCCCTATCTATAATGTGCCGAGATTAATGGCGTCTATGAGGATCCTATGTCAGTTCAGATGAGTTCATGATTGGTGATTACGGTCTTTGAATGGGGAAGATACCCTATCCTTGATTCCTTGTACCATTAACTGATCGATGTTTCGAAACATGTGACAGTGTCAGAGGACGATGAAATCGACTACTCTGTCAAGCCAGAGTTCTATGATTCAGATATGGACGACAAAGATGAAATGTGGATGCACAAGCGAAGAGGCGGGCGTACTTCCGATGCCATTCTCAGCTGTCCGGCTTGTTTCACCACCGTCTGCTTCGAGTGTCAAAGGTAATCTTCACTTGCTTGATAGAGTATTCAGTTTCATCATCCTCCGACACTGGCATGTTACATGTTCCACTGTCTGCTTTGAGTCTTGATATAATATTCCAAGATAACCCGTGAACTTGGATTGCGGTAATATTCGCTTAATATGGTAAGTACATCTTCGGTAAGGGTGAAAGTGAATTGCTGGACCCGGAAAGTAACAAACTTTGGACACTGTATGTAGAGACTCAGTCATTGTTGTTTTCTGGTTCTAGAAACTAGAAAGTGTCACCTTTTGCAAAACTAATGGTGACGGCAACAGTCTTTTAGTAAGAAACCGATACAATGGCCAATATGCTCGGTTTCTTTCTCTGTCTTTTTGGAAACCCCATAACCATTGCTTAAAGATATAGTTGGATGTCTTGCTGTCAAAATCTCGCATTTCATCGTAACTGAACCTACTTGGCATGTGGTTCTTTGCAGGCACGAGAAGTACTTGACGCAGTATAGGGCGGTCTTTGTTGTGAACTGTAAGGTGGAAAAGGACAGAGTTCACAAGCAAAGTGCAAGAACCCCGAGAAAAGGCCGGAAAAGAGGGAGAGAGCTCGAGCCCGTGGACCGTGAAGAACCCGGTCCAGCGGACAGCGAAACTTTCAACCCCGTTACCTGTTCCGTCTGCTCAACGGAGATCGGAGTAACCGATGAAGAAGAAATCTATCATTTCTTCAATGTCATCCCGAGCGAATCTTGAAGACAGAGATCATGTCAGGGTTTGTAATGCTTATGAGGACAACACCACTCAGTTGGTTTTTCTATGATGCGGGATTCTGTCACGGACAGATACGAGGATCATGAGAACAAATTCAAGATTTAAGGGGTTAACTGTTCTTGAGGACAGTTCCCGTTAGAGCAAAGCAGCTCATTCCCCTCTCATGCTATATGACTTGTGATAAAGGATGGTCATTTTGTTTATTAACAGAATAGCCGAATGCTAACCAATAAGAATAAAATATAACCATAATCGAATCGAACTTGACATAAAGACCAAACGATTATTTTTAAGTATGAAAAAACTGAAACTGAACCGAATCGAATCGTTTAAAAAAATTAGTGAAAAAACTGAATTTTTTGAAAAAATGAGTTTTTATCCAAAAAAAATTGAATACAAAATGAATCGAATTGAATTGAAAAATAATCGAACCGAATCAAAGTTTATATAAAAATCAAATGGTTATAGTTTTTTTATAACCGAAATAATCAATCCCGAACCGAAATCCGAAATAACCATCCCTGTTTGTGATTAAGGAATTATCAATGTAAGCCCTTTCTAAATGCATTAAAATCTTTTTCTCGGTATTTGCCGGTTCATATTTTGCTAAATGCTAGCCAACACTTGTATCATAATTTTTTTTCTAGCTGTCAGCTTGAATATTAATTTTTTTTTTAAAAAGTAATATTTTGATAGAATGAAAGTCCACATCAAATCCTATAGATATTTTGGGTTTCTATTCTTTTACTTTTTATTTGGATTTTTTTTAAAAAAAATTATGCGTTCATTCATTTTTTATATGAACTTTTGGTCTGTTTTGGATCGTTTTTTATTCAAAAATATTTATTTTGTAAAAAGTTTTTTTTTTAGTTTTTTAAAATTATTTTCATATTTGATGTAAGTTATATTTATATCTTTAAAAAATTTAATATAATTGATTTAATTCCTTTTAATTACGATTATATATAAATAGGCGATCTGAAATTAATTTTTTATTCGGCCGCAAGTTTAAAATCCCAAAAAGTATATATATATATATATGGTTTTACAATAATTTATGTTTACGTATATATATATATATATATATATATGGTTTTACAATAATTTATGTTTACGTATTACAGTCCGAAAAACTAAAATCCCAAACCAAAAAAAATCCTCCATGAGAGAATCCTTGAACTCAATGACGTGGCGTAATCTCATTGGGCATGAAGAAGAAGAAAATCTAGAGAGGCACGGCCACGTGGACTGACATCTAAATGAAACAGAAGTTGATTATTTTTAGGGCAGAACTGTCACCTTCTCGTAACATAAATAAGCAAAATAAATAATCACAAAACAAATTAAACAGTTGGAGAGTTGGGCTCCAGCTGTTTTGATACAATTGTCAAATTATTCGTCCGACTTTATATCCATGAAGGAAAATAAATGTGTACACACACTATTAAATATCACGACAATGATAAAGGTCATTCGGTAAAGGATTTTTTTCTTTGCAGTTTCATAACATACAGGACAAAGAAAACAAACTTTTTTTTTCGATAAACAGAACGTTCGTTGGGTTTTCGATCTATTTAATCTTCCGAGTCTAAACTCAACCTTTAGTCACATGATTAATTGCGTTCCCTCTTCTCCACCAGTAAAATTGGATCTAGAATTTAAAATAATTTTATTGTCTCTCAACCATGGAAACACGAATCAGTGGACCATTTTCGTAATATATATATATATACCTTAAATTATAATTAAATTATACAAAGAGTTAGGCCGAATACAATTATACAAGAAAACAGTATTCGGGATTTTAACTCGATATAAGAAAGCTCGGTAAATAACGCATTAAATTATATATATATATATATGTATATGATGAGAATGCAGAAATATATTTAAATCCCTTCGGACCATATGTTTCAGCCACATATTAAATTTAATCTTTGAGAATCAAGGAGACGACAAAATTCAACTTTCTAATTTCCTGCATTGCCATGACGAACATGCAATAGTAACGATGTATTTGTTTTTCTAAAATTAATGTTATTCCATATACTAATACTGTCGGTTTATGGTGCACAATTAATATTCATTTGCAACTCGGTTTGTGTATTAGAAGTGAGCATCTTGATTTTTGAATTTCACTTTCATTATTTTCGAATTAAATTTTTATTTGGAAAAAAATATTCTCATTTAAATTTATAATTGGTTTTAGTTTAGTTCATGCTTTATATGGATTCATTTTGTATTCGATTTTCATTAGAAAAAATTATTTTCTGATTAGATTTTTCAAAATTTTAATTATCTTTTTATATTTGTTTTGAATCCAATCAATTTAACTTAAAAATTATATCTGTTCAATTTTTTAAGATATATTTGTTTTGATAGCGCAAATATAATTTTGCTTACATTTAAATCATTCTTTTTCTTTTTCTTCATCTTTCAAATCATGTATCCTTTAATAAAAATTGCGCTTTTTAATTATTCTGTATATTATTTGTAACATATCATGATTGCATAAGCTCGGAATATGACATATCACGGATTATAAAATCGATTAGTATTAATTAAATATTTTCGGATACGACAATAATCATAATAAATATTAACAAGATAATATATAATAATGAGGCTGTTAAAGAATGTTCCGCTATTAAATCATAAAGAAATCATGTCACGGAGGAAAAATCTCGACGCGACGACAAATCAAATCCCTTATTTGGTCTGCCAAGTGGGATTATTAATTTAATATTCTTGTATGTGTGTGTGTATATATATATATATATATATATATATATATTATTGTGAGGATCGGAGTGGTTGAATGCATAGGGTGGAAAGCGAATATTTGATTACAACTATATATAATAGAAATAGAATACCATTTCAATTATTGCATACGACATTGAGGCTCACAATTAGATTTTTCGATTGCCATATATATATATACATATATATATATATATATATATTAATTACTAGATAATATCATGCACAATAGGGTCTAGAACATAAAACAAACTATTTTGCATTATCGTACATATCATATTTACAAATTCGTTACGCTTTTTATATTAAGTTTTATAACTAGGATAAAAATCATTTAAACGATCATATAGGAAATATATATATATATATATATTTTCTAAGGATTTAGTTCATAAAACCAGTGAAATATTCTTTAATTTACAAATAACATATAGTAGTAGCACGTGTGCGTATACACATGAATTTGCGAGTTTTATGCATGAGAGCTCATGCATGAGAGGGTAATTTACAAGGATGATAAAATGACGCCATTTCCGTTAAGAGGAAAGCCAAAATGGCTTTGGTCCACACAAACACAAAGATGAGGTGTTGATTTTTCAAATTTTACGTACAACACGTGGTACGACGTACATATACATATTATATATATATATATATATATATATATGTGTAAGTGTAGAAGACAAAGTCTACTAGTAGCCAATCAATTAGCCTGTTGATTGTCTCCTTTGATGAACTTGCCTCACCGCGACTATCTTATCAACTGTTTATGCACAAAAGGGTACAGTCTACGTACAGAGCTGGTGGTTTCAGTATTAAACAGTGGATTTAGTGACATACAATATATAATTAAATGCAATTTTACAAAAATGTGTTGTACTCTGCATCGTATACGTACATTTGCATGTGAGATAACTGCCAAGTAGAGCGAGAGGCATACATGTGGTAAAAGTAAAAAAAGATGGTTGTAAATGTAAATTTTATAATCCGCAAGTGTAAGGAATTGAAGGAACAATGAAATAATTTATTTGCATAGGTCATATGTCCTTTATTACCAAGAGTTTTTGTAATGATCACAACTGGAAAAGACACAAAACAACAACAACAATTAATGCAACTTTAAACATGAGATATGACATCCAAATCAACATTGCAAAGTAGCGATCCGTAACCTCTTGTTACATTTTAATTTTCGGTTTAATATGGAGGTAATTTTTTTAAAATAAACTCAAAATCAAACAGTTGACGTGTTTTTTTTTTTTTTTCACTCGTGCGTAGATGACAACGGTAAACCCTAGGAAAATTCTTACGAAAGGGCAGAAGAAACAAGGGGAGAGAGAGAGAGAGAGCGCGGTGATGAGAATCCTACCTACCGGCAGATGATGACGTGGCAGGGTAAAAATGGATAACGTCCCTTAAATGCACGTAGCGAGCTGGAGCCGGGCCCCACTTGATAAATTCCCCTGCCGGAGGGTGGTCCCCAGAAGGCAGTTCCCAGCGCGTGAGCTCCACCGCGTTCAGACAAAAAATCTTGACTTCAGAAAAAGAAAAGGGAAAAAAAGGTAAACTGAGCAAAAAACCACCAGTGAGCTGTGTAGGACCCACCAGCCATGTGCCCTCCTTCCTGTCTCCACCAGCTCCTGCCGCTCAATCATTAGCTTCTCTCACTCGGAAAAAACTCCTCCTCCTCCTCCATTCCATCCTCTTCCTCGCTGTCAGATCCTTCAAAACCACACTCAACCCTGATTCTCTCGTTCTCATCTGAAATTAAGCTCGACCCATGTCGAATACTGACGGAGCTGGTAACGGCGTCTCCAACGGCGCCATAATCGAACGTCACCGGCAGAATTCGTTGTCGGTGGGTAAAGGAGCTCTCGCCGTCAAGAAGCCTCCATCTAAGGATCGTCACAGTAAGGTCGACGGAAGAGGGAGGAGGATTCGGATGCCCATTATCTGCGCTGCTCGGGTTTGGCGTCAATCCATGCTTGGATTAGGGTTAGGGTTTTGCGGTGCGAAGATTGTTCAGCTCTCCTCCTTCGTTCTCAGACCTCCGACGACTCTGGCTAGCGCCGGTTTCGGCCATAGATTGCAGCACCGGATAGTTTCTTCCTCTGGTCCTCACTGCAAGACTCCCGGTGAAGTCCCAGTTCTCCACGATTGCTTCAGGTTGTTTTGATTGTTCGTGTGCCTTCTGCGAATTGATGTGAAATTTCAGATGGGGTTTAGCTTGACTGTCATGGGTCGTGTCCATAGCAAGATTTAGGTCTTTGAGTTCGAGAACCAGGATGACCCAGTTGATGAAAAGAGAGATTCTGTCTTGAAAATGATCATGCATTTGTTCTATTTGATGCTCAGATTCTGGGTTTAGAAGTAACAGTGATACAGTTCGTGCTCGTTTCATGGTTTGTCTTTGGGATGTAAGTTTTGTTTCATTCCCTGTTTCTCATTTTCTGTCTTTCTCTCCTTCTGAAGCCAGCAAGAAGATGATCATCTCCTCCGTCAGGCCGAGCCTTCCATTATAGCCGCCACCGGAACAGGTACAACCCCAGCGAGCTTCTCCAGCGCTTCCATGTCCGTTCACGGCGGTGGAAACTCCATGTCCTTTCCCTCGACATCCTCGTCTCTCGACCATAAACCCTTGTCGGGTCCGTCTCCTTTCATACTCGGGAAGCGTGTCAGAGCAGAGGAAGATTCTGGCGGCGGATGCGGCGGCGTAGGTAAGGACGACGGGGGAGTTACGTCGGTGGGTCACACAATGGGTTCGTTCGTGGGGTCAGCTACACAAGCTGGGTTCTGGGCAGTACCGGCGAGACCCGACTTCGGACAGGTTTGGAGCTTCTCCGCGGCGGCGGGAGCTCCCCATGTCGGCGTCCATAACGCAGCAACCGGCTGCGCTCTTCGTCCACCAGCAACAGCAGGCTGCCGCCGCCATGGGAGAGGCCTCGGCGGCGAGAGTGGGAAACTATCTCCCGGGCCATCTCAACTTGTTAGCCTCTTTGTCGGGTGGGGCAGCACGGTCGGGTCGGAGAGAGGAGGATCCACGTTGACTCCGAACCCGCGATCGAAACCAAGGTCTTGCCTTTGCACTCTCATGGCTTCCGATATATAAGTTGCGTAGGACAACATGGTATATATATATAGCTTTGTTTATGTCAATGTGTTCTTTGCGTTCTTGGTGAGTGTCTTGTGCGCTTTAATGGCAAAAAAGGGTACATTTTTTTTTTGGGGAGTTAGTGTTAGCGCGACTTAGTCAGTTCCTGAGGATCTGGGAGTTGTCTGAAAGTTAGCGAATTAGCGATTGTTCTGATATTAGGGTTTTTCATTAGGGTTTTTAGGACTTCGGTGCAAGATTTGTTTTCGGGAGAAGCTTTTTTTGTGGAGAGAGACAGATTGAACAGTGTTGAACGCCATAAAAGCTCTGGTCTGCTAATGGGTCTGGATCAGCTATTTGTCCTCTTCATTAATTATGCCATAAAGGGACAGCTTCATCGGCTGTCCTGACACAGAAACCGCGGAGTGGTTTCACGTTGCCCCCTGTCTGGTTTTCCGGCGAGTCAGTGCCGTTGTTGAGTTTGAATCCTCATCATCAAGATTCATATTTGTTCTCCCTAATCTCTGTCAATTAACCACTATATGTATATTGGAATTTTTTGACCTCTGTCTTCTCCTATGGTTCTTGTCTGATCCGTTAAGATCCCTAACTACGCTGTCTGCTGTGTATTATATAAGTGGATCGTTTTGGGGTTTGAGTATTTCGTGAATGAGAGCAGAGGATGCAAAAACAAACAAACAAACTTTTTTTAAAAAATAAAAAATAAAAAAAGGGTAATTTCAGACCAGTCGAGACAGCAGTTTATGAATGGTCTGTTTCCTCGCTTGTTTCCAATTTTATGTTATCTCGTACAAATATATAAATATTTGACTGTTTTTTTATTTATTTACGCGATGTATATATAAATATGTATTAATATGATTACTCTTGTGCTTCTGACATTATTTCACGAATCCCATGATTTGATATCAATTTTAAGCCTTATAATTACGGGTGCACGTTTCGGTTCGCTCAGCAAGAATCGAATTGTACCGAATAAAAAATTTTGATATTTTTCTCTATCTGTACCGTTCAAAATTTCCAAAGGGTATAATTTTTATAGAACATAATTTTTCAGATCGAAGCGAAATCGAACTTTATAAAATTTCCGAAAAACGAAATTTTCTTAAATATCTATTTTTTTTAACAAAAACCGAAACCGAACCGTACCGGAATCGATACCGAACCGAATCGAATAATATATGATATTAATTTGGTACCAATTTTAGAATACCGAATAAACCGTTTTCAAATCGAACCGCTAAAATTCTGACCCGAATCCCGAAACGTCATCCCTACCTATAATATGAACAAAAAACCAAAATAAAATTGCTCTCTCTCTCTCTATCTATATATATAATTCTAAAGAAGGAACTATCAATTCACCGTAAATTCACCTGCCTTCAAGTAATACTAATAAATCATCAAATTGACATTCAAAACGGTTTTATGGAAACGAATCCATATGAACCTCTAGAACTATATGCGAATACATTTATAAACAAAAATAAACTATATGAAAACGCAAAAATGAATGAGCGATTAAATACTCTTGTGATTTTTTTTGAAAAATTCTTCTTATAACATGCCAAAATACAACAAAACTATATAGAAACTACCTAATACACAACCCGATACGATTCACAGGAAATGTATGAATCGTCGCAATATCGGGATTGAACAGAGGGACCGGTTTGTAAGAACTATAGCTCAATCGAAACCAAATCAAGAAGCAAATATATATGTGGGGTACGTGCCCCATATAACTAGTCAAAAAAAATTAATTTCTTCATAAGTTTTATAACATTATAAAATAACGTTGATAAATGCCCTTATTCATATGAAATTATACATATATTGTTATTGCCCCCAAATAAAAATAGTTTTAGGTCCGCCAATATATACATACTGTTTGCACGTCAATTCATTCGCATGTCATGCAAGTTTATAGCCATATAAATACGGGCGAATGATACAACTGACCAACCAATTAATTCGTCACTTCGTGTTAAAACATCCGGACATGTTTTCTTGTTCAGGCCCAATATCGGTGGGCCCCACTTATGGGCCCAATGGTCTGGTTAGCTGTCACGCATTAGGTCCATCGGGCCGGATATCTCCAAATACAACTAACCAGCCCACCAATTAATTCTTTCGTCATTCGTCCTCAGCATCGGAACTTGTTTTCTTCTTATTGACCTATTATTGGTGGGCCCTACCAATGGGCCTTTAAGTAGACCCAATGGACTGGCTTGCAGGCCCATTGGGCCGAACATCTTCCTTTCAAGTGAGAGCCTCCGATTCGAATTCGAAGCGGCGAAGCAGAGCTCAGCGGAGGGAGAGAGAATGGCGTCGTCGTCGACGAGAGGGGAGATGGAGAAGATGGGAGCAGAGCAGCTGAAAGCGTTGAAGGAGCAAGCGGATCTCGAAGTCAATCTCCTTCAGGACAGCCTCAACAATATCCGCACTGCCACATCCCGCCTCGACTCTGCCTCCGCTGCGCTTCACGATCTCTCTCTTCGTCCCCAAGGTCCCTCCTTCTCTCTCTCTCTCTCTCTCTCTCATTCGATTTCTCTAATTGCATGATGGTTCGTAGAAATCTGTTTTTGCTTATGTGTGTTTGGGAATTTTAGGGAAGAAGATGCTGATGCCTCTCACGGCCTCTCTCTACGTACCTGGCACGCTTGATGATGCCGGTAAGGTTCTCGTCGATATCGGAACTGGCTACTTCGTCGAGGTACTGGGCATCGATGAATTCACCAATGCATTTCCTAAGCTACCTGTTCAAATCTCATGTCAATGTAGTTGAAGTGCTCCTTCTCTGGGCTTAGTTCTTGTGGATTTGTCTGTTTTTTTGGGTAGAAAACAATGGTCGAAGGAAAAGATTATTGTGAGAGAAAGATCAACTTGCTGAAATCAAACTTTGATCAACTTCTCGAGGTACGTTTTGATGATGAAATTTGCCCCGTGCTTCATTGTGTCTTGTTACCGAGAAACTCAACTAAAAAGCATCTAACGTTAGTTTATCCCGAACAACTTCGATTCAAGAACTTTTCGTTGAGAAGAGATGAATAGACGAATCAAACCAATCTGTGTGGGCTTCAAACCAAAGATAAAAAATCCAAAACAGTGAGATCTTTTGTGGAGAAAGTATTTTCTCTGATACCATCTTGAAGTTGAGATGGAATTTTCTGTTGTGTTGTTGACTCAGATGCTCTAAACCAAACCAAACCAAACTGAAGCGGTCTAAAACCGATCTTATTTTCAAATATAGAGTACTCCGCTAATGGTTTTTAATGCTTTTTTCCATGGTAAATAAAGAACAGTGCTTTCAGCCCAAACTGTTGATGCTCGAACTGAGGATTGTGGTTGCGGTACAATTATCTCGAGATGGGAACTAATTAGTTCGTTCATTCAAGGATTTTGTTCAGAATGTGCCAAGGTTTTGGCTGAAATGTTTTGCTGTTTGATAAGGCTATGCGTTTATATATCATCGTCGGAGATCCCTCTATCTCAGGCTGCTTAACTGACAATTTATAAGTAAAAACCCGTCAACACTTGGGATCTTTCTGACACCAAGAACGGTGAATGCATGCAGGTCGCAACGACAAAGAAAAGCTTGGCAGATGAAGCAGGGATGATATTGCAGGCAAAACTGAAGCAACTATCTGCTCCCACTTCGTAGATTTTTCTTCTTCTTCTTCTCTGTTTTGAAAGTAAGCTTGAGGTACAAAAAAGTTTTTTTTTCAGCTTCTGTTTGGTAATTGGTAATGATTCTGAGCACAGTGGATTTATGCCCCTTGTAGAGGTTTATGGTTTTTCTTCTGTTTCATGGAATACAAATTCATTACCATTTTTTTGTACAGTTCATTCAGTAATATGCACAAACCGCACAGTGTGGTGATTTGTAAGTTTCTTCTGATAATGTTTACGGCAATGTCAACGTAAGAACACGAATGTTTAAATTTCGCTATAGGAAGGGGCATACCGAGACCTCTACATGAGACAGAGGCTTTAACGTGGACGCAACATTACCACCACTGCGTTGAGCTGTCCGGAGGAGAACTTGTCTTGCGAGAAAGTGCGAGCCTTTTGCCTGTGAAGCTCCGGAGCTGACAGTCGAAACCATGTTGTGTGGAGGCTCTCGTGTCTCTCTGCACTTGTGGGATCGGCGTCAATCCATGCTTGGATTAGGGTTAGGGTTTTGCGGTGCGAAGATTGTTCAGCTCTCCTCCTTCGTTCTCAGACCTCCGACGACTCTGGCTAGCGCCGGTTTCGGCCATAGATTGCAGCACCGGATAGTTTCTTCCTCTGGTCCTCACTGCAAGACTCCCGGTGAAGTCCCAGTTCTCCACGATTGCTTCAGGTTGTTTTGATTGTTCGTGTGCCTTCTGCGAATTGATGTGAAATTTCAGATGGGGTTTAGCTTGACTGTCATGGGTCGTGTCCATAGCAAGATTTAGGTCTTTGAGTTCGAGAACCAGGATGACCCAGTTGATGAAAAGAGAGATTCTGTCTTGAAAATGATCATGCATTTGTTCTATTTGATGCTCAGATTCTGGGTTTAGAAGTAACAGTGATACAGTTCGTGCTCGTTTCATGGTTTGTCTTTGGGATGTAAGTTTTGTTTCATTCCCTGTTTCTCATTTTCTGTCTTTCTCTCCTTCTGAAGCCAGCAAGAAGATGATCATGACCTTCAAGATGAAGGGTTGTCCTCCCCAGTTGCAGGTACTTGTCTGCTTTCTGATTTCGCTCCTGCCTATGAAATGTAGTTGTGGAGTTCTTAAAAAAATTTCTTACATAATTCTATCTTTGGATGGAGAGTTCGATTTTTTTACCTGTTCTTTGGCATCTGGTTCAGCGGTAAAACCATTTACCGTGGGGTCTGAGGTCGCGGGTTCAAATCCACCTCTCTACATTAAAATGTAGGGTTAAGATGGCCTAATATATTCTCTTCCCCAACACTCTCACTAGATGGGAATACGAATTGGGTTGGTCTTTTTCTTTGATATCTGGTTAGAGCTTCGGCCTCTATATAAAAGAGTATTCTTGGGAATTCTTCGGAATGGTTGATTTTATCCATTAACGTTCCAAAGTGTTGTACTTGGCATACAGTATACAACTGCCTAACTAAATCTTGTTTCGCATCTCCTTTACTTGTGTTCTTTAATCATTTGATCTTGCAGGAGGCATTGTTGCTCTGGGGAAATTTGATGCTCTACATCTCGGGCATCGGGAGCTTGCGATTCAAGCTTCAAGAATTGGAACTCCATATCTATTGTCTTTTGTTGGAATGGCCGAGGTACTTGGCTGGGAACCCAGGTAATGTTTGCTCTCGTATTTCTAGGTTCCTTTCCCTCCGAATATAAACCTGATTTCCGTTTTTACCCCCACCTTATGAATGAATATACATCCTGATTGCTCAAGACTGTTAAACCTTGTATTAACGCCCTTGATACCTGTGTTTTCCATCCGTGCGATGAGGCCTTAAAGAACTTTTTTTTTTCCATTGATGCAAGTTAGCCCGGGCCAGGAAATGTTTCCTACAAGCTGCTTAACGACAAAAGTTCATTAAACTTCCCTGCTTTAAGACTTTCTTTTGCTGGTTATTTCATATCTGCTTGATATGTTTCATGATTCCACTCCTTGTTTCTATATCTGTACATTCCTTTACCAGAATTCAAGACAAAAAGAAAGAATGAAGAATTCTCTGTATTTTTCATTATTTTCTGATTCTTGTGCACTTGACAAGTTTGTTTGATATAAATATAACTGATGAACAAACAGCTGTGTTTTTGTTTGTGTAGGGATCCAATAGTGGCAAAATGTGACAGAAAACGGGTGCTTTCTTCTTGGACTTCATATTGTGGAAACATAACACCGCAAGAGTTCCAAATCGAGTTTTCCAGTGTTCGTCATCTAAGCCCTCGAGAGTTTGTTGAGAAGCTCTCGAAAGAGCTCAGGGTTTCCGGAGTTGTGGCAGGTTAACTTCATAATTTCAACTTACTTTCTCAGGATATCGTTTAATGTCACACTAGGGATGGGTATGAGTCAGGTTATTCGAGATTTTTTCAGTTTTTTTTTCACTGTTATAATTCGATATCATCTCATATAATAGTTGGGTTGAGTTGGATACCCAAGATTTGGGTTTTTTACCCAGCCCTATATCTGTCACACCTTGGAGTATATATATGTATATGTATATATATATAAAAGTTGAAATGAAACCTTTTTGACAGGAGAAAACTACAGGTTTGGATACAGAGCATCTGGGGACACAGCCGAGCTGGTGAGGTTATGCGAGGAGTATGGGATTGGAGCTTATGTCATAGACTCTGTCATGGACAAGAACCGTCGGTCTCCAGACAGCCAAACAGAAGGAGACAGAGGGCAGGTCTCATCTACTCGTGTTCGTCAAGCTCTCGCCATGGGAGACATGGAGCATGTTACAGAGCTCCTAGGTAGGCCCCACAGGCTTGTCCTGAGCGTTGGAACGCGAGATCTCCTGCCCTGTGATGGTGGGAGGAGGGTTGTTTCGGCTCCTAGATCTTCTGTTCTGAATTTACCGCCCAGGAATGGAGTTTATGAAGCGTGTTCTGTCCTGGTCAACAATGGTGAGAGCCCGATTTCGTGTAGGGTAGTCGTTGATAGAGTG